GTCCCCCTTTCCAACAGTGGATCCTGTTGGGGGAGCCAGAAACAGCACCCTAAACAACCCAGAAACAACTGCACAGCACCGACCCCCTGCCTCAGTTTCCCAAGATAGAGATCATGGACTCTGCAGCCTTCTCCCAAGGCAAGGACTGACCATCTGCCAGTGAGTGGTAGCCAGGTAGCCAGCCAGTGAGGGTCAGCAGCAGATATGGGAAAGGCAGCCTTTGGCACCTGGGGGTCCACACCAAATGCTGTAAAAGAAAGGCAGAGAGACCTCTGCCCCACCCCCGGGACCCAGCCTGACACAGAGGGGAGGAGAGACACCAGTTCCCCAGCTATGGAAACTGGGGTCCAGCAGGTGGCTAAAACTCCACTGGGAAGGTGAGGTGGGGGAGGGGGAGAACCAGTTCTCCCTTGGTGGTCCTGGGGGGCACGGGACTCTGGGCTTTAGAGTGGAGCAGCAGGACAGGGGCTGGACTGCTGCAGACTAAGCTTCTGGTGAAGGATAGAGGGCCCTGCTCCCCACAAGGAAAACTGGCAAGCAGGCTCTGTCTAGGGGGTGCGGACAAAAGCAGTTTGGCAGAGCTATGGGGGGCTGGGAGAGCCTAGGGTCTCTGCCAGGCACTACAGGCGGGGGAACGCAGAAATTCATTTATTCATTGTCCACTCCCCTACTTCCCCAGCCCGGGCACGGCTCCCCACCGTGGTGCCACCGTGACCCCCTTCCCCAGCGCTGCTGACTCGCCCCCGCTGGCAGAGCAACACACATGCGGGAGGCACACGTGTGAGCACCAAGCCCCGCACCTCCCAGCTGAAACATGTGCGTCCCCTACCCCCACCGCGCAGCGTTGAGACGGGGCCCGGAGCCCCCCGCTGGCCCCTACGGTAAGGAAAGGCAACAGGGTCTCGGCTAGGGGGCTGCTGGGCCCCAGGGGCTTGCAGCCTCCTCCCCCACCCCGCGGCAGCCCCGCCCAGCCCCCTTCAGGTTGTCGCCCATAAAGAACTCTCCGTTGTCATGGAAATTAGTGACTGCTTAGCGGGAGGAAGGGGACCCGGGGGCAATTGGGAGGGGTTGAAGGCGGCCCCGGGAGTCAGGAGGGTCGGCTCAGCCCTCGACCCCTACCCCCATGGAGCACCAAAAATGTTCGAGGGTTAAGGTTTTCACAATTAGTAGCCCAGCGAAACGGGGGGCGGGGGTGGGGAGGGCAAGGAGGGGAGATTCGCCTGGACCCGAGTCTCAGAGGCTTCCCCTGGGACCCCCGAGCCGTCCGAGGTGACGGGGAACTTTAAACCTAACCCCGCACGCCGACCCCCGGATTTGCAAATCCCGCGTGTTCTGCCCCCGCTGGGACCCCAAGCCCTCGAGGAGCCCCCGCGCGCTGAAGGATCCGAACCTTGAGTCAGAGACCCAATCCCCCAAGACCCCCAGAACGTGCGTTCGGGGGCGCCCCCCAGCGCGGCCCGCCCCGCACCTGCAGCGCCGGTCGGTCACACGGAGGAAGCGATCGCGTGTTCAGTGGGGCGCCGAGGGCTCCGGGGGCGGCGGGCAGAATCCGCTCCGGGCACGCGGGGCAGACGCGGCGCCAGCTGCAGCCGCTTCGGCTCGCAAACCTCCAGCATCTCCCGCCGCTCGCCGGCACCAGATTCGCACCCGGGGCCGGGGGCGGGCTGGGGGGCGGGGCCTCCCTCAGCGGGCTCCGCCCCGGCCCTGACGGAGCCTGAGGCCAGAATCCCACTCTGAGGGGGGCGGACGAAGGGTGGCAGGCAGCGAGTCCGGGAGCTGTGGCCTGCCCGGCGCCGGCCAGGCTCCCAAAGACTCCCTCAGGCTCTCGGACTGACAGGGCAACAGGGCCCGGAGGGGCCTTCTTTCGCCCCTGAGAGGGAGCGGGGAGCAGAAGGTGTGGGAAAAGCCTGAGCCCTGGAGCTGCACAGGAATCTCTTGGCAGGTGGTAGTCCCCAGGGGACCAGAGCTCTGCCTAGCTCCCAAAACCTGACCCAAAGGGCGGAACCGACTTACAAGAACAAAGTGGGCAGTCGCCAGGGCAAGCTGCGTTACAGACTGGCATTCCCTAGCTAGGAATAGTAAACACAGGGGTGAGTGTGTGTGCACGTGGTCAAGGAGGGCTCCAGACCACGGTAGCAGAACCTCCTATCCCCCGCCCCCCTGCCCCCTTCAGCCTTTCTCATCCCCAAGTCCCAGCCAAGGTGGCTAGCCTGGTCCGCCCCACCCTGCGGAGCACTGATTTTCCCAGCCTATAAAAGTCGCCTATGACATGGTGTGGATTCTACTTTCTTTCCAGCTTCATCACCCTGAAACGCTTTATACAAACAGAAGCAGCAGCCCAGGCTGGGATGTGGGTTACAGGAGAACTATTGCACCAAGGTGTCCGCCAGGCCTGTCCTCTGATGGGAGAGAGCTGAGAATGGCGAGGAGGAAACCTGGAAGTCCGTCCTCAGCCATTTCTCTGTCCTTTGTTAGGGAGGCACGGGGACCCAGTGCCTGCCCCTCCCCCCTCACAGGCGCTGAGGACCTTCCTGAGTCCCATGTCTGAAGGCCAGACAGGCTTCTTGGTCCCTGGAGCTGGCTTCCAGCTCACTCCAAACCACCCAGGGAGTCTTCTGACCCCATTCTGGGGAGGGAGGTCATCTCCAAAGCCTGGGATGTTGAGTGAGTCTTCCCTGCGTGGCTCCCTGTGGCTGCTGACAGGAGTGACTGCTCCAAGTGAGGAAGTTGGGGCTAACTCTGGGAAGGCTGGCCTGAGTTATGACCACTGAACTCAGACCCCTCAATATCTTCCCCAGACAAGAGTGTCAAGGGGCCCTTCACATCCTTCCCTGGCTTTGGGTCACCTCTTGCAAACCAGATGGATGCCACCTCTGGGGCCCTCTGGGCTCTGGGTGGTCTCAGTCACAGCAGCGACCCCACCACTGGATAGGAATACCCGACAGGCGGAGGCTGTGTTTCATCTCAGTCTGCTCAGTTCATGTCTGCAGAATGAATGAATGGCCTGGCACTCAGTCCTTCCCGTGGTCCACCCAGGGTCCCTGAAGCACTGTTTTTCTGAGATGTATCATGCAGCTGAGCCTTGGCCTGCCAACCCTGCACATGTGACATACATTTTCTATCTTTCCTGAAGGTCATGGCTATCTAGGCACGGACAGGCTGGGCCGAGAAGAAGCTGGAATGGGGGATTTTAGAGGCAGGGGAAGAGGTGGTTCGCTAGAGCCCTGCCTGCTGCTGGCAGTGCTCCACCTCTCCTTGGTCGTGTGCAATTTCCATGTGCCTGTGGCTGAGTGCACGTGGTGGGGTGTGTGTGTACACGTGCGAGTGTGTCTGTGTGTGTGCGTGCGTGCGCTCTCATGCTGGAGGAGATGGCAATAGCACCGTGTGTGCGGTGGTGCCCAGTGGCACGTGTGTCTGTGTTCTGTGTGCACCCAGGCATGCTGGCTTGTGCGTGCACATGGACACGGTTGCCAGTCCCTGGAGACCCTGGTCCCTGGAGCCTCCGGTCCCCTTCTGGCCTGACACAAGCCTCAGGACCGTGGAAGCTGAATCAGGGCGTGAAAGCAGGATGGGGGAAGAGGCTGGGCCTGCCTAAGGGCTGACAGTAGGCTACCCTACATCATGGGCTATTTCCAGCCACCCCACCCAGGGTAGCCCTTCACTCTCCTCTTTGGGGGAGAGCCAGGTCTTGGCCCTTTGTGGAGAGAAAAACCCAAGGATGAGAACCCAGGGTTGGGACCGGGACCTGGCTTGTTCCTCAGCCCCCAGTCTGGGAGGGAGACACAGGCAGGATAGGGTTTTGGTGTCTTCGCTTCATTTGACCTCCGGCCGCCCTCTGGGTAGGAAGTAGCCATACCAGCTGGATGCCATCCTCTCAGCTCTACTAGGCCATGGACTGGGCCCACGTGGAACGTTATTCCTACCTCCGCTATTCAGAGCTAGACCAGGTCATGGCCCACAGCTTCTAGCCACTCCCCCTGGCCAGAGGAATGACACATGGTCCTTTAGGATAGGGCAGAGCCTGGAAAAAGAGCAGGCTCAGGTGGCATTGGCATTGTCCAGTAGCCTCTCTGAGGACCTCCTGAGGAAGCCTGTGCCCTAGGCGCCCTGCAGGTGGGAGGAGGAGGCTGAGAAAGAGAAGGGATCCCGAGGTTGAGAGTTCTGGCTCCCACCAGAGCGAGGCAGTCAGAGGGGCAGGATAAAGTGTGAGCCTCTCTACCCACAGAGCCTACAAAGCTGGCCAGATCTCAAGGCTCAGCTTACGTCATACCACCCACCCAGGACCCAGGACTTCTCTGCCACCCCACCATGACCCTGACTTCCTGCCCCAGGGTGCCAAAGGCCAGCACTCCCATACCCTCATATTCTGACTGGCCCACAGAAGCATAGAGCTCTAGCTGAAGTTCAGATTTTAGGGGGCACCTGCATTACCAGGCTAGCTCCCCCAAGAAGCCCAGACTTTGACAGGTACCCTCCCTTGGGGGCAACAAATGCTCCAGGTCCCCAGCCATCTTTGGAACTGTTAGGCTGTTGTCCACGTTGCTCTCCTCAGCCCCCCGTAGAGGGCACAAGATGGAAGAGGCCGAGCAGTCTTTTCCTCGGGAGCTAGGGGAGGGGGCTGTTCCCCCCCCTTCATGACTCACTCCAGGCTGTGTGGGTTATTACATTATGTTTGAAATTGCCATGGCAACCAGCTGGCAATCAAGGGTAATTGCACTTGTCGCCAGGGCAACGGGGCAAAACCCACAGCAGCCACTGTCTGTGGTTGCCCTTGGGGTGCAGTAAAGGTCAGGCTAGACCAGAGCCAGTGCCAGCCAAGGGGCTCTGAGGTTCTCTGGAAAGGATAGGATTGCTAGGCCCCATGGAGTTCCCACGTGTGGAGGCAGGGTGTGCCTTGGGAGTTCCAGGACCAGCCTCCACCCCTGACTCCACAACTGGCCTCTCTGCCCTTCCCCACACCACCCCGTGTCTAAAACACACCACAGTGCTCCAAGTCAGCAGAACGAGAACTTTTATGCGCTCACAGATGGTACTTGTAGATGGCCCACGGGCCCTCCTCCTCGTACTCACGGCGGCTGAGCCACAGGCTCTGGAAGGAGTCCCGGGATGCCATGATGGAGCCTCCAAGCCAAGCAGCGACAGCGCGATGGGGAGAGCCCAGCACAGTGGCTCGGGGGCCCAGCTCCTGCCGCAGGCGCTCGGGAAAGCCATTGATCAGGGTGCTGCCGCCGTCCAGCACCACATTGGCCAGCAGCTCCTCCTGCTGCTTGGCCTCCAGCCTGCTGATGCTCAGGAGGGCCAACTGCGGGAGGCCAGGCTGGTTGAGGCCCAGCAGACTGGGCTGGAAGAGGGCCTCAGGGCAGCAGAAACGCTCGGAGCCCAGGGTGATGACATGCTTGTCTGGAAGCACGAAGTCCACCCGGGCTTGGGTCTGGGTGCGGGCCACCTCAGCTGTCATGTTCATGGCCACGTAGCAGCAGGCCTCTTTAATCTGGTTGACCAGCCCCACCTTGGGCGGTGAGTGGCCCCCCGCCAGCAGCAGCTGAGCCAAATATTCGGTGAGGTCAGCCCCAGCTACATCCAGCCGGTAGGTGTCAAGGGGGGCCAGATCCCCAGTGAGGATAGGTGCCACGTAGGATGTGCCGTGGCCGCTGCCCAGCACCAGCCCGGTGGTGCGCCCGTAGGCATAGAGCGCCAGCAGGGCCTGGTGCACCGTCTGCATGGCCGGCACGTGGAAGCGCTCGAAGAGGATCTCAGCCACCTTCTCTCGGTTGGTGCGCGGCGAGATGGGCGAATCGGCCACAAGCACCGCCAGCTCCTCCGGCCGCACGCCCAGCCTGCAGTAAAACAGGTGCTGCCACAGCACCTCCAGGGCATCCCAGTCGGAGACCACGCCTCGATTCAGCACCGAATAGGCGGCCTCCTGGTTCTCGGGCACCGTGTACCGGGGCTCATCCTGGGCCGGGTGCTGCAGCAGCTGGACACGTGAGGGCACCACGCTGAGGATGTGGTCCTCCCCAGCCAGTCCGCACTTGGTGAAGCCGGTGCCTGTGTCAATCACCACCGCTGCCATGTCCTGGTAGGGGCCCAGCGAGTGACGGCAGAGCAGCGGGGACTGCACTGACAGAGTACCCGCGGTGGGCACCAGCTCGTAGCAGGCCCCACGGAGCAGGCCAAGGTGGGGAAGCACTGATGGGTGTGAGATGTCCTCGGGTGTCAGCTTGAACTGGGGACCCTGCGGCTCGGCGCCCACCATGGCCACGGGCAGGACCTTGTAGCCAGTGCCGGGTGTGGAGAATGTGACCAGGGAAAACTGCTCCCCCTGGGTGCTGGGGGGGCTTCCGCGTTGCCAGGATGGCACCCGATGTGTGCTGGAGCTTTCAGCAGCTCTGACGCCGACCTTGTCCCTGCTCATGTAGACACAGGTCTCCTCGGGGGCCAGGGGCACCTGAAGCACCCCAACGTGGGCTGGCAAGCTCAAGGGCTCCCCTTCCTGGCACAAGGTGGAGGCCTGGCCAGTCTCCCTGGTGATGGGGGGCCTTCCTGGGACGATGGGCTCTTTGGAAATGGGGGGTTCTTGGGGAAAGGGAGGCTGCCCAGTGAGAGAAATCTGCCTGGCAAGAGAGGTTCCAGTGACAGGGACCTGACGGGAAAGGGGGAGTTGCCTGGGGGAGGGAGGCTGCTTGGCCAGGAGTGGCTGTCCAGAAAAGCGGGTCTGCCTGGTGAGGGAGCACTCCTCATCAGGAGGAGGCTGACAAATTGGAGGGGGCTGTCCAGAAAGGGGATGCTGTTCAGTTAGAGGCGGCTGACCGCTGGGGAAGGCCTGCCCAGCACCCTCAGCCCCAAGGCTGTCAGGATGAGCAGTAAGGACCTCTTTCTGGTCATGTTTGCCTATATCGTCCTGAAGCAGAGGTCTGGACACCTCCTGGGTTGGGGCCTGAGGAGCAGGCTCTGCGGGCTGCTCTGAGATCATCCACTGCAGTTTCTTGGGCTGGACCGTGGAGGTGTCCTGCATCCTGGAGGGGTCCAGCTTCCAAATGGTATGACTAGTTTCATTTTTTTCTGCATCAAGTTTGGAGCAGCCCGGATCGTGAACATGGCTCAATCTCCTCTCCCCGAATTGGAGGGGCATCCCCAGTGGAATGGGCCGAGTGAACACCCTGATGGGTGTCTCAGTACCCGGGGAGTCCCGCAACTCCAAGTTGAGCCTGCCCTCCTTGGAAACCAGGGCCACCTCTCGGTAGCTTCCAGCTGAGAGGCTGGAGGGTGCAGGGCTGGACAGCATGGGCGAGGTGGACCAGAAGTTGGGGTGATTGTTGTCAGGGGAAAGGATGGGCATGCCTAATGGTGGAGCAGACAACACATTTTCGGGAACATAGACAGATGGGTGGTTGGGCATGACACCCAGCAGCACTGCCCGTGAACCCGTGGGGTCATGGCACAGCAGCCCCATCCTGGTGTTCCCCGTGGCCATATCGAACACCAGCACGCGGTCTTCCACAGCATTCTGGAGCTGGCAAGTAGGGGCAGTGGAGGGGGGAATCTGGTTGGCTTCCCCGGGAGACTGGACAGGTGACTGCTTGTGGCAGGAGTCTGGGTAGGCAGACTGGGGCACATTGGAGTAGGTATTGTTGCAAATGTTGAGAGGCTGCTGGTCTGGCTGAGAGCTGCAGTTCTCCTGGCTATTCCTCTGGGACTTAGGGGTCCCTGGGGGCCCTGAGCCTGGTGTTGGGCTGCCTGGCCTAGAGGTACAAACCTGGGGCTTCTCCACTGGGTTCTCAGGCAGGTTGGATAACACCTGTGTTCTGGCAGCCTTGACCTCCTGGACATGGTCTGAGGACTCATTTGGAGGAGGCATTTGGTTGGGAGGCTCCTTCTGAAAACCAAAATCCACTTTGTCCTGGAGGGATGAGACCACTTTGGAAGACTCCAAGAGGACTGGCCACGGGTTGTCACTCTTGCTGGGGAGGAGGTCTTGGGACAGGCCATTGGTTGTGATAGTGGTGTCTGTCAAGTGGCCAGAGATGCAGGTATAAGTTTCAACTACTTCTGGCATTGGAGTTGGAGCCACAGCTAGAGCATTTGCCTGAGTTGGAGTTGGAGGAGTCTGGGCCGGACATGGGCACTTGTCCTGGCCCTGACCTTGGCCTGGAGCCAGAAGAGGATCTTGGCCTGCAGCCGAGCCCTCGTCCCCTGAAAGGAGATAGGGTAGCCACCTGCTCTTCCTGCTGCCCAAGGGGGCTACCTGGTCAGGGCTACAGGGGCATTTGCCCCAGCCTACCAGGACTTTAGCGGGAGCTTTGCCCTGCCGTGCAACCTGCGCCTGAACCCGGAAGCGGCAGAATCCATGCTGGACCGTGTCACTGGTGCTGTCACTGTGTGTGCACACAGGGAGGGCCAGGGTCCTGTTCTCCATGATGAGATGCGTTGGGGTTCCCACGATGGAGCTTGGAAACGGGCTAGTAGAGGGGGGTCTTGGGGCATCTTGGGAGGCCCTCTCACAGACACACTGGGAGCCAATGTCAGCAGGATCCTGGTGTAGCTGGTGAACAAGGTCAGGGGCATGGGCCTGGGAGGCAGGGCCGCAGGTCCTATCAGTGATGGCCTCAGGGGACAAGGACAACCCCTGCCTGAAGTACACAGATCCTGAGTTTATCCATGGTCCCTCAGACCTTCTGAGGCCACCCCCTGGCTGCTGGCTGCTGGCCGAGGGGTGGCCTTGGGGGCCCGGTGGATCAGGGCCCCCCACCTTCTTGGTGACTTCCATAGTCTTGCTCCATGCCCTAGGTGCCCTGCCCCCACTTTGTTGTCATGGCAACCCCACACATCACAGCCCCCAGTGACCTGGTGGGGGGTGACAGAGTGTGGGAAACCAGGGGCCCCACCCCACTGAGGAATGGGGCCTGCCCTAGGGAACCTTGGGAAACAGAAATGCCCAGGGACTCTGGTGAAGTCTGCCAACCCTAGGCCATCCAGGGGACTAACTACTCTCTACTCAGGCCAGCTGTGGGGTGAGGGTGGTGCTCCTTGTGGCAGGGTCTGGGAGTGGCTGGGAGAGGCCAAAAGGGAAAGGTAAGCAGGGAAGACCTGGATTCCTGGTCTACCTCAGACACCAGACTTGGTTCTTTCTCCTCTCTTATGTGGCAGCTTGAGACTTTAGCCCTGACCCAGAGATGAGTTCCAAGAATGTGACACAAGACCCTTTGGGAGATCAAAGCCCCTTCACCACTCAGTCCTGGGAGACAGAAGAGGGTGAGGGGCTCAGCTCAGGCCCGTGCTCTTCTCCCCCATGTTCCCTGGCTCCCGCTCCAGGGACAGCAGCTCCTTGGCAATCTTTCTACTCCAGATGGCTCTCTTCTGCCTGTGCCTCATAGAGCCCCCTCCCCAGAGCCACATGTCCTTGAAGCCTAGAACCAGTAGCCCACAGAGGTGGCTATGGGGGCAAGAGGGGCGGGGGTGGGGCCTTTGCTCAGAATCCTCAAATCAGAATGTTCTAGATCTTGTCACATTGTGTCAACTTACCCTTGGCTGGGGGAGGGGGTGGGGGGGCAGAGCACTAAGCATAGGGCTAGGCCACAGTGGACACAGGGCCTGCCAAGTGGCAATTACATACAGATGGGGCATAGTAGGGACACAGTGAGCAGAGGGATGGTTATGGAGTGCGAATATGGTTGGTGCAGGACTGGGCACACAATGGGCATAGCTGTGTATACAGTGTGAACAAGTTGGACACAGGACTGGACATAGGGTAGGCACATAGGAAATGTAAACTTATTAGACTGGGTAGAACTCCCACCCTCCCTTTCTTAGATGGGTAAACATAGGCCAGAGAAGGGTGAGACCTGTCTAGACCACCAGCCCAGGCCTAGTTGTGCCCGACAGCCATAGAAGACAGGCCTAAGCAGCAGTCTGGGGACCCACCCCTTACCACAAGCCTCTTCTGGAGGTTTTGACCTGGGGGGCGGGGCCAGCCCTCTTCCCTCCTGCCAGCTGTGAGCTCTGAGCCTCTTTGTTCTAGTCCCCAGGCCTGTGTCCCTTCAGGCCTCAGTTTTTCTGCCCAGGAAACAGGTTTGTGGAGAATGCAGCTATCGGCTTGTCCTCCAAAGCGGTGTTTTCACAAAGGTTAAAAATAGTGCTTACAGTTGGCCGTGGGGTGTGAAACGATGTGACCAGGGACCACGGCTGGCACTGTGCAGCATCTGCACCTTCCTGATAGGTACTGGGCAAAGCCTGACTCAGCCCCGTTCGGGCCCCCTGGGTCCCCTCCCTCTCCCCCAGATGCTGCCTTCAGTTAAGCTTGGAGACAGATTTCTCGGGATGTTACTGCTCATCCTACATTATGGCCCAGGAAGGTGGCCAAGTGGAGGGGTCTGTGGCGCGCCTCTGTGTTCCTATGTGTGCACATCCTTGCTGAATGCTATTCCATTCACCTCTGACCCCAATCAAACAGATTTCTTCCCCCACAACAGAGGTGATAGTGGTGGCCTCTAGAGCCAGGCTGCACCTGGGAGGGCTGGGGAGGCAGGGAGGGGGGCGCCCCTCAGCCATACCCCATCTCCTACAGAAGTGGGGCATCCTTCCCAGGGTTAGGAGCTTTGTGAACAACTGACCTGAGAGATCCCCTCTAGGTGTCCTCTGGGAAGGGAGCAGAGCCAGCTGAAGGGTGTGGCTCATGAAGGCTTCCCCCCACACCCCCCAAGAGAAAGCAGTCCTGAGAGAGGAGGAAGTTCTCCCTGCCGCACCACCAAGCAAACGCCTGTTATAAAAACAATGACTGATTTGATTGGGTTCTTCCTGCAAGCCTGGGCAGTGCTGAGCGCTGGTAACCCAGCCTCACAGTGACTGAATGAGCCAGGCACTATCATCCCTATTTAACAAATGAGGAAATCAAGGCACAGAGAAGAGAGAGAACTCACAGAGAGCTCAGCAAAATGAGTGGTAGAGCCAGACTCTGCAGCCAGGCTGGCCACCAGGCTTCGGACCTACACTTCAGAATCCCACCACTGGATCCCATGCCCAGGGCTGGCAGGCAGGGACCCTACTGGAAGGGAGCCAATATGCCTCCCTTCTGAGTGCTGCAGCCCCAAGCCCCCATGAAAGCCGTGTCCCACATGAACCATCTCCTCCTCCCAATAGCTTAGCAGGTGGCTGGAACCTGGGAGGGGCGTTTTCCCTGTGGGCACGTCAAAGCCAATGTCCTCCAAGGAGAGGAGTGCAGAAATAGGGGCCAGTTACACACCCTGCTGAACCAGGCTGAGTCCTTTGTCCTCAGAATTCTTGCCTGGCCAAAGCCCACTGCATTTCATCCAGGTAAGAGGAGGCCCAGGAGGGTGGCCAGAGAGGCTCCCAAGCTTGCCCCCTTCTGCCGAGCCCCCAGGGTTCAGGCAGGGACATTGCCACGGTACCCCTCCCCCCTACATGTTTTTAAACAGTCTCTCACCACGAAGAAGGGCAACCAATTCTATTTCTGATTCTGGAAAGTGAGGAGGGCCAACATGTTGCCATGGCAAACTGGAAAGCCCCTCCCCAAGGCTGAGCCCATTCCCCAGGCTGAGGGTTCTCCGCGATGGAAGGACCCAGAAGAACTGGAAGAAGCCCAGTCTTAGGGCAAGGACAGAAGGAGTCTCCTATGTGAGGGCAGGTCCCGACATTGCCTCCTGTCACCCCTCACCTGGCCCCCTCTGAGCAGGCTTCGGGGAAAGGCCCCGACCCCTGTGGAGAGGGTCAGGCTTCAGGAGATGGAGTCAGAGCACCCCAAGAAACCATTCTTTTTTGTGGATCAGGCTAGAACCCTCCTCCTTAGGATGTCTTGAGGGTGGTGGGCCAGAAGGGCATCAAGAGGAGAGGGAAGACTTCAGGACCAGCCAGGTCTCCCAGACCTGATTCTCCAATGCACCTGTATTTTTGGCTTTTTTGTGTTCTCAGGAAACAGCTCTGTCAAATCCTCGGCCTTGTACTCTTCCAGTCTACCTGTCTTCCCCTCTCAGGGCCCTGGGAAGACTCCAAAAATCTAGGATCAAAAGGAGCCACAAAGGGCTCCCAGTGGAGGCAACCACTTGGTAATGGAGTGAAAAGCAAGGCCTGTTTCCCCAGAAGTTGTGCCCGGTGTTCAGGGGTTCGTACACCAGCCGTCCTGCCCCAGACCCCAGAGGGTGCAGACAAGTAGCATTTAGATCTTTAGGGAGGGCATTCTGGGTAGGAGCACAGACCAGGTAAAGGCAGGCTTCTGAAAAGACCTAAAAGGATGCTGTGATCTAGCCTTCTCGGGGTGCTAATGGGAAAGCAAGGTCACCTGGGAGAAAGGAGGCACCCTTGGTCTCCTGGCTCCACAGACTGGTCTGAGTTTCCCACTCCTGACCCTCCTCCCTGGGGCTCTCCAAGTGACCTGTGAGTGCTAACATCCTGCTTCCCTAAAGCCTTTCCTGGCCAGGGCACACCCATTCCAGAGAGGCCTCGGACCCCTCCTCCTCCCTGGTCTCCCTTGCCTGACCCCGAAAGGAAGACAGCCAGGGTGCAGAGAACACCAGCCCCAAGAGGGCCCTTGGTGGGACATGGGGTGATAGTCTACTCCTAACCAGGAATGTGGAATGTAGATCCAGGAGTGCCAGGAGGATGTGGCTTTTGAGCTCCAAGGCATAGGAAATTTAAATAACAGATGTTTAAACAACCTTCCCTGCCAGCCGTGGTGCACTGACCCCTCTGCTGTGATGTGTTACAGCTTAAAAATAGCCCACAATGAACTGCTCCGAGCTCCAATTGACTCAAGCTTACGTAACTCTGCGTGAAAGATGGCCAGCCGCACCAGCCCGGAGGGAGGGCCATAGCACAGATGCCCGGACTGCTCCGGGGCTGAGGCCAGCTCCTCGCCGTCCCTGGGAGCAGCCCCCCAGCCAGGAGCCAGCCTCAGTGGGGGCAGAGCAAGTGCTGCCAGAAGTGCGCATCATTCCATGACAATCGGGAAGAGACCTCTGATCACATCTGCAGAGAGGAGCTGAGATCAGCCCTCTCTCAGGGTCCTTGAAGAACTCAGGCCCCGTGGAGGGTGGGGGCAACTTTAACAACGGGTGACTGGGTCAGAGCCTGTGGGTAAGGAGTCATGTGGGAAGGGTGACTGGGGCTGCCCAAAGGATTCTTTTCCCCCTTCAAAAAGGTGGCTCCCCAGCTGGGAGGAACAGGTCAGCAGGACTGATGCCTGGCTGCAGCTGGGATTACCGTGTGGTCCAGGGGTGGAGTGGACTCCTTGTGGGGGTCTCAGTCTCTATGGTCCAGGCTGCACAGGTGGGGCTTGTGACATGAGAGTGAGCACTGGCTTCCCAGCTGACTGAAGATCCTGGGATCTTGGGATCTTGGCTGCCAGCTGCTCTGAGTCCCCTGCCTTTCCTGATACATTTCCAGATCCCCAGTGCCCAGTCCAAGACTGACCACAAGTGTGCAGGTAGCTAAACCAACGGGAGAGGGAATGGAGGAGAGGAGGCAAGGATGCCCCTGGCATTGGGACCTTCGTGTGCTCCCTCTGCCTCTGTCCTTGCTGAGCCCCAAGGATGCAGCAACCTCCCTCAGCTCCTACCACCTGAGTTCAAAATAGGAACCACCATGGGCCCTGCATCTGAGCTTCTACTGAGCAATAGACCGGTGAGGGCCAAATACTGGGGCATCCTGTCACGGGCCCAGCAAGTGGTTGTCAGGGCCATAAGTGCCTCTGTTTCCCTGAGAAGGTCAAGGCTGGCAGATGGGTGGAGCAGAAGTGGCAGGGGAATGAGTGGCAATGGCAGGGCACAGTCCCAGATTGGGATTCTCATCCTGCAAGAGGACTGTGATCTGGGGACCTCCCTCTACAGGGCAGTGTGACCGTCCCTGCTAGGCTTAGCCGGAATGTCCTGGAACCAGGGACAGAAGGTGCTCAGAGCATTGAGGAAATAGAGAACAAGATGCAGAGGCTGTGGGGAGGCTCAGGAGCGGAACCACCCTCCCTTACAGAGCCTGGAGCTGTGAGCTCCTATCCTGGGTGGACTGATGGGGCTGCGGGGTCACGAGAAACAGTCATTTCT